TGCCCAACGCCATGATGGCGACACCAGCCTTTAGAGGTAGCAATTCCGTCCTGTCATGGCTACCTCCTTCAGGGAAAATCCCAATACAACCGCCCGACCTTAGACGATTGAAAACCGCCTTGTAAACCTCAGTCTGATCGATATGGGGGGCCAGCTTAAACTTGGTACCCTCAAAGCCATCTTTCGGGCCCTTCAATTCCTTATTAGTAAAATTTCCCTTCTCGTCGATATCGTCTCGACCGGTTAGCTGCTGCAGGGGAACCTTTCCCTTGAACGGCCGCTTAATCCGAATTTCCTCGGGTCCGATTATCTTAGATATGTCGATCGAGCTACCCGACTGGCCCTTCACAGAGGGCAAGAACAGCATGCCGCCAACCTCGGCTTCTTTTTCAAAGTCCGTGCCCACGCCTCGGATCAAGGTTGGATCATTGATGGGGTCGGGAAGATAGATGACACCTGAAGCGGGTTTCGCTTTATCCTGCGCTCGGCCGACAGGGACGGACCCAGTCTGGCGGGAACCCCATCCGATGAAGCCGTGCACTGATTTCTCGGCGATGAGTAGGCCTACGCGCCGCTGGGCTTCATTTTTTAGCGTCCGCTGGAGGACTAAGCCGTCGACGAATTGGTTCGCATGCGGCGCGGCGACGAAGAGAATAGGCCCGGTCCTTGGCACTCTCCATGCGCCTCGCGGGTGAACTTCGCGGAAGAATAGGTCTACGAGAACGGAAAATGTATGTAAGAAGGCGTCGTACTTCCAGTCGGACATCGGGTATAATTCTTTTTCTTTAGTAGATTTGGGCTTTGCAACGGCGGAGGGCCGTGCCTCTTCGGCGGGCTTGCCGTCGGCCATGGTCGCAAAAAGCAATCGAAGGTCGGCGGATAAGCTAGGTAGAAGTAAATTTGACAGATGCTATCGCAATAGTGCCTAACCCATATACTAACTGTTGAAGTCGGTGGTGGTGGCGACGACGACGGAAATGGCGGATTATTCGGTTCGTTCAAGTAACGACTGTAAATAGAGTGTCGGGGGGTTGCACGCGGACTCGAGTGGGCTCAGAAACGGTCACGTTGTCAAAAGCTGGGTTGGCGTGGTAAACGAATGGATTAGGTATTAAAGCCAGATTGGAAGTCCGGGCTTAAGCTATTAGTATGTAAAAAATCCTAGCCCCGGACAGCTCAGCTAAACAAGAAGAAAAAAGAAGAGAAGGCAGCTATCAATGGCTCTAGCACGCACCAGCAATCGAGAGCGTCATTCTTCACCAAGAATGATGGAGTAACAAGAAAACGCAATGTAGATCTTGCTCGGGCAAGTTAATAATAAAAAGAAGAGGGAAAAAAAACTCATCAATCACAGGCCAAAACACAGACAACTTGTGCATGAAAATGCAAGCCACAGCTCGTGGTACCCTGCCAGCTGCCTGCACACCCTGGACATACTACATACTGGAAGCGACTGGAATCTTGGCAGAATGTCAGACTCTCGGCGCCACAGCTATGTAGAGGAGGGGCCGAGGGGTACGTTTAGTGGCCATTCGTCCGAGGTTTCTAGCTTGTGAAAGGTACTAAAACTTAAGTGGAGTTCCGTGCTAAGCCCCATGTATCTGTGTACAAACCATCAAAGGTATCCTCTTTTTCGTACATAATTCTCGACATGCCAATTCTTGACATACATATCTACGCCTCCTTTGACTTAGATATCTGCTTACTATTGGATCAAAGTCCATTCAAAATTCCCAACAGACCGGATTCATTACGTCCTTACCGAGAATCTACCTACTACTTACCTAGGTAGATACTATGTAATATCTATCATATCACCTTAGTAAGTCGTTACAATTTACCAGGCCCGTGTCGGTATGCAGCTTGCTACATAACATGTAGGCCCATAATATCTGTAAAATTCATGCAAGGCGACGCGAGGCGCAATCACGGATGTTGGCAGATACGAATGCAAGTCATATACCACAATGGCTAATTAAAAACGGCTTCGCATATCCTGTACCTAGGTAATTAAAGCCAACCTAGGTAATTGCGCATGTGGGCACCAGCTATGCGGATCGATATACGACTAAGACAATCTCGAGGATAGACCGAGTTATCTTTATAGTCTTGCGTGTCGAGGCTCGGCGTGTCGATATACAAGCTTTGCACAAGAACTGAACTTTCTTTTTTTCTTCTTCTTAATCTTGCTAAGCTTCCGGTTATTCCCAAGAGCGATGTGACATGTCGTGGCATGTCAGTGCTTTCTCGGGTCGCAAAGACCGCCGTTTTAATCTGTGCGTTGACGGGGAAAAGGAAAGTCAATTAACCCACTTGATTGCTTCAAACGTCGACATGTAGTACTGACAGATATCGTACCATTGCCATTACGGACGGAAATCAGTTTTTGCTTTTCCCCTTCCCCTTCCGACGTCTCTTGTCCTCGGGCACCGAAGCGCTACCCTCTTGAACCTCGCCCTCCTCGACTTTGCCCTCAGCTTCCAGTTCCTTGAGCTTTTCTTGACCCGAGATAAACATGCTAAGGTCATGGTTCTGGTCCTTCAAATCCGCATTCTCCAATTTCAGCTCTTTGACTTGTTCGCCCAAGCTCTCGAGCTCCTTGTTCATATGCTCGATCCGTTTCATCAGGCCTTCCGAGACCTTCTTCTCCTCTTGTAGACTCTTGCCTAGCCCCCGCGCAAGATCCGTAGATTTAGTTGCCCGGTTACGTTCGCGTTCTAAGTCTTTCTCGAGCCCCGGTATCGTCTCGGTGCGTAGGCGATGTTGTTCCTCTTGAACTATTTTAAGCTCCTTAAGCGCCCGTGACGCTTGGGCTGCGGCGGTCTCTGCGGCTGCCGATGCTTTCGTCGCCTTGTCCGCAGCCTTCGAGAGCATTTCCTCGAAGTATACACGTTGGCTCTCTAACTGACTACTGAGAAGATGAGTATACTCCATACCGATACTTTCGAGTTTCGCACGAGGCACTACGTCATGGTCTTCGTGTTCGTCAGGTCCCATGGACCCCCCTCGACGACCAGGTAGCTCTACCACTTTGCCATCACCCTTGTCCCTAATCAAGCGATGCACCCACATATCACCGGCGTAATCCCAAACGTGTTGAGTTTCTATCTCTAAGGAGAAAGTATGAGCTGTCTCCTTCCAATGCTCTTTCGCGTGGCCGCCTTTATACCGCCCACACCCCACATTACCACAGATAAGACATATCCAGAGGTCGTCTGGAGAGTCGCAAACAGAGCACAGGTTGGATACGCGGGAGCCGAAAGGCTGCGTATATGGGTTGTTAGGGTCGTAAGGGGTTGAAGCGTGCGCATTCGACGAAGATGAAGACGATGATAGTATTGGATTCGTGTGCCGGCAGACTGGACAGCCGGAACCCTTCCACTTCTGTAGACACGAGCAATGAAATACATGTTGGCAAGTAATTGTTAGTAAACCTGTAGTATCGTCCATACGCTCGAGACAGACGGGACAAGTGGGTAGTTCGATTAAATTAGGGGTTGGTGGTGGAAAGGGTTTAAGCGAATTATATGTAGCTGAAGTAGATGGTGTAAATGGATCTTGGCTGAGATCTGGAAAGCTGTCACCTGGGCGGGTCGGACTCTCGAAAGTGACGGACCTAATGAAGGCAACTGTGCACGTTTCCGGCTTCGTTGTGTTAGCTTCTCGTATACTATAATCTTGAGTATCCTCTTACCTCGATGTCGTTGAATACCCTGCCGTCAAACTCGCGCCTAAAGAGTTGCGCCTGCTTGCTCTCTCGAAACTTCATGAGCACGAGGTATCTGTTCATTCGACCCGTCATAACCATGCGATAATGACTGACCTTGTCCCTCCATCTCTCGCCCACAAAACCGAGAAAGTCGCTCGGAGACAGATAGCTTGGGACTGCGGGAATACAAACAGTAGTGCAGTTGATTTGCGCGCCGTCCTGTTCTCCGTCGGCCTCGGGTATTTGATCCGGAGATATCTCAAGCTCTGGACTCTCTATCTCTTCTCGGTATAAATGTACGATTCCCCAACCCAACTCAGTGTTCTTAGAAGAGTTCAGCGGGACATACTTCGCTTTCGTAGCCTTGCCTGCACCTCCCATAGAAGGACCGACGGCAGCCGCCGCGGCGGATGTTGCCTGCATATTGTCGTGGCTGTCCACGTCGATGCTCTCGATCCTAAGCTGCCCGAACCTCCAATCCTTAACTGCGGTGTGCGGGTTTATGGCAACGTACGACTGGGGAGGCGGGTAGCTTAGGGTTCGTTGTCGAAGCTGCCTCTCGGTAAGTCGTATAATATTCCGATCGTCTTGCGACTCGGGTGGTCGAGGGGCCCCGCAGTCGATGACGCTTGGGTTGGACTTCGTTGGGGTATTCGGTGTTTGGTTTCGCTGCCAGATGTACGGTATCTTCCCTCTATGAGCTTGAGCTACTTCCTGCATTCGAGGATGCGACGGAAGGTTGTCGAAGATATTTGATGTCTCTTTTGGTAGCCAGGTCGACCTATCGTAGGATTGCGATGCCTTCCCTAATCCCTTAGACGTTGGAGTCGGCGTGGGATAAACCTCGAGCTTGATATGGTAATAATACGATGGCATAGCCTATGTCTTTAAGAATGCGCAAGACTTTATGAGCAAATCATCCGTATGCATATATTGGGAGCTGAGCTAACTCATGTGGCAAGGCAGCGATGAGATTCGCCAAGGTGATAAAACTATGGAAATGCCGTTGTCGGTTGTAGTGGAAAGTTGATCCCATTGTTAAACCAAGCAGAGGAATATGTATTGGAAATGTCGTAGCTCAGTATAGGTTTTTGAAATGAGAAAGCGCAAACGTTCCTTTCGATTCGGTTAACATCTTTTCCTTACGCATGTACCCCCAACGCTCGTGGATTTGGTGGAACTTATACTAATAAAAGTACGAATAATAGATACGGTCATAACACTTTCGTCCAACACATGTACTAGATTACGTTTAAGGTCTCATTTATCACAATTACGGGGAAAAACATGGTTTAGAAAGTCATGAACTTGGTATATTCATATTCAGCATCAGTCTAATGATGCTGCATCCTTGATCATTAAGGTATGTTGATTGACGCCTAGGCCCAAGAGCCTAATCCGGGGCCAATCCCACTAACGCCAATTCGTGCAAATGTCGTCATACTCCACCATCGCGAAGCGCCTATTGTCCACCACGGAGACGGAGCACCAAGTGCAGCGTAGACTCCTTCTGAATGTTGTAGTCACTCAGAGTGCGCCCGTCTTCCAACTGCTTACCAGCGAAGATAAGTCGTTGTTGGTCAGGGGGAATGCCTTCCTTGTCCTGGATCTTGCTTTTGACGTTGTCGATAGTGTCCGATGACTCAACTTCCAGAGTGATCGTCTTGCCCGTCAATGTCTTGACGAAGATCTGCATTCCACCACGTAGTCGGAGAACAAGGTGAAGAGTAGACTCCTTTTGGATGTTGTAGTCGCTAAGGGTTCGGCCATCCTCCAACTGCTTACCCGCAAAGATGAGTCGCTGTTGGTCAGGAGGAATTCCTTCCTTGTCTTGAATCTTGGACTTGACGTTGTCGATGGTATCCGACGATTCAACCTCAAGGGTGATGGTCTTGCCGGTTAAGGTCTTCACGAAGATTTGCATACCACCACGGAGACGAAGGACAAGGTGGAGAGTGGATTCCTTCTGAATGTTGTAATCAGATAGGGTTCGGCCGTCCTCGAGCTGCTTGCCGGCGAAAATCAATCGCTGTTGGTCGGGAGGGATACCCTCCTTATCCTGGATCTTCGACTTCACATTGTCAATGGTGTCGGAGGATTCGACCTCGAGGGTGATGGTCTTTCCGGTAAGGGTCTTGACGACTATTCAAATCGTTAGCATATTTTAAATGATTATACTAAGATGGAGTGCAACTTACAGATTTGCATGCCACCACGCAGACGGAGGACGAGATGGAGAGTGCTCTCCTTCTGGATGTTGTAGTCGCTCAGAGTGCGACCATCCTCAAGTTGCTTTCCAGCAAAAATCAATCGCTGTTGGTCAGGAGGAATACCCTCCTTGTCCTGAATCTTGGACTTGACGTTGTCAATAGTGTCCGAAGACTCGACCTCAAGGGTGATGGTCTTGCCAGTGAGGGTCTTGACGAAGATCTGCATCTTGTCGGTGTATTACGGATAGATCGGGTAGATTGAGTGCTTGCTTGATGGTCAGTTTAGGGTACCAAGAGCAGATAGATGGTATCTTGTTGTTGATGAGAGTAGTTGATGATAGATTGTGGTAGGAGAGAAAAGGAAGAAAAGATGAAGAAGGTAGGCAAGTTTGGGTTCAAATAGGGAATTGGAGGAGCGGCAAACGAACACGGATACCCTGAGGCGCAGTTACCTGAATGGAAGCCTTGGGAATGGGAAGGTGGGAGACGTGGGGTACCCACTTTAACCAATCACGTCTCAGTTGCCCAGCTGATCCAAGAGGTGAATCATCGGTAACCACCACTGATAGCGGGGAGAAAGAGCCAGAAGTTTGGCTGGACTCCGCCGGTAGTCTCAGGAAGTGACAGGTACGTTCTAGAGTTAGGTAGGTACCTCCTACATGCACATATCAAAGAGGCAAACTGCCACCTGTATGTACTGTATGGTGGACCACCATAACCTGCAATAGTCAACCTTGCCACTGCTGTTGCTTAATAATCCCGATTGACTTTCGTCAGCTTTGTTTCCCAGCCACTAATGGAATTATTAACTTTCTACATACACGACAACAATGGTTCGTTCTTAACCCAAGTAAATAAACAGTATAAATCCTCGCATTTAATAAGTAGTCGAAAGCTGAACACTCAAACAGTAGTGATTCAGCATAGGTATTGCGAAATGATTCTATTATCTATATATTCCATGTCATGTGGGCTCAAGGGTCTAGATAAGGAGTCACAAGGTAACAGTGAAACGCCGAAACAGGAAAACAAGAGGCATTAACTAGGTAGTGAGATGAGACGATACAGGTTTGATAATCTTTGTTGCTCAGTTACTTGTCCAACTATGCATTTAAGGTGATATGTAGCAGATCGCACGCTACTACATACACACTTACGTACCTACAATGGACATTCCTCTTTGCCCCCTTTCCGAGCTACCGAGATCTGCGTCTCCGGAGCGAGCCGAATGTCGGGGGCTTAGTGTATACATACTCCTATATTGATCGCTAAATCCAGCCATCGTGCCATGGAGATAGCTTGTTCCTGATGCATCAGTCTCCTATTACACCAGACACTAGTTCAACGTCGAGTACAGAACCACTCCGAAAACACCACCACTATCTAAATCACGACGATGCCGTCGATTCTCGCTCTCCACTTGGCGCGACCGACCAAACCTATTCCTGTAGGACCCGTGCGGGGTCGTTTTTGATACGGTGTCACTAGCCCGGCATTCCTTGACCAACGTCATACTAGCTAACCCCCCAAGGTCGTATTAATCCCAACAAGGGCCAATTCAACATGCTAAGCGGTGAACAATGAGGCGATCCGAATCGTAGAATACGTTTTGCAATTACATTGTATACCGTATAAGAGAGAGGGTTATCGATATATAAGCATTCCTCGCCGTTCACTTGACGGCAAAGGCTTTTTCCATATATAATATATAATATATATCCAGTCAAGTGTTGGTCAATTAGGTGATGCACAGGTCTCATTCCGAATCTCGGTTTAAAGTGTGTGAGCTTACACGATACTACGATCCAGAGTGGATAGATGCGTCTTGAAGAGGACAGCAGTGGGATGACAGAAACTGTTTGTGGTCTCCCTTAAAGAATCTACGAGAACAAAAGCAGCGGTGTCGGCCGATACCTACTAACACAAAGTTGTATTGTGATGCTTACAGGTTGTAGGGTGTAGGGGGTTGCAAATCCGTTGGCAGTATGCGGTGAAGCCTGCATAGGGGAACTTTGGGCACAAAATCGCTCACTCAGCATAATACATAAGTACAGATGACATGAAATCCAATTTAGACTTTTCTTTGGTTCTTATTCTTGCTCGCTTGAAATCATTCAATGAAACGTATTTAATTATCCATTCATGTTTGTATCTCTTCTGTCCCTAAGCAGATACACACAGGCCATAATCATAATCCTTGCCCCAAGGAGAGTGACGGATACCACCCCTCATTTGTTCACCCATCTAGTAATTCATCAAGGTTATCTGGACCCTCGCAGGATCTATCAGACACCGTAAGCCATGTAATGTAATCTAGGTATGCTGTTGAACGTAACTGCATTTGTCTTGTGTGTACGTAAAATCCGTAGCTTCTTTCCATTTCATAAAACCATGATCCATCGAACCGCTTTTGGTGCTTGCGCGTGATAACGATCAACATAATTCCAAGTCATACAGTCGTCGAAAATCAGCCGTTAAAAAGGTCGTAAGATTTGAGTAACATGGCGTAAAACATCGCATGCGTCAATTGGCGGTGACCAGCCGTAAGTGAGAGAAAAGAAGAAGGTATGTTAGTCGATAAGTAGTGATAGGTCATGATGATAAGATCATATCCTCAGACAACGCCGTCGCTAAATGTTTCCATCAATCTGAACAAAGGAAAAAATAAAAACCCAAATTTCAAAAAAGGAAAAAGGAAAAAGCAAAATCAAAATCTACGCTCGTTAATGGAAGCGTTTCTAGAATGTACGTGGCCTAATCCTGAGGTCATGGCAGCAGCAGAGTGCTTCAGTTGGCCTTGATAACCAACTTGGATAAGAACTTGTTCGACAATGAATCGAAGTCGTATCGGTCAAACTTCGACGTGTGTCTGGTCCTTAGGTATGCCTCTGTTATCATATTAGCGAATGTCGCGGTATCTGCAAATAAAAATATCTTACCATGCTTAAGGACGTGCTGCCGTACTTCGGTCATAGCCTCGCATACAGCAACGTTGTTGTTAAGTAGATGACCATGGCGTTCAGTATCCCAGTCAATCAGAGCCGGGAGTTTCTGAGAGATGGCGTGGAATAGACCGGTAATGACACCAACTGGTGTGCTCTCCATATCGTTGCAAAATTTCTCAACCGCCACTGGGTCAGGTACACGGTAATGGCAGTCAAACTGCATCTCTTCCCAGACAGCCAGAAGTATGGAGGCAAGCATAAAGATAGTGGGCCAGTTCTTCAGGCGATCACCGCTGTACACGCTAGAGTAAAGCGCTGAAAGCTCCTCCAGAATATCCTTCTGTAGCTCACGCCACATATCTGCCATAGCACACTTGATCTGGAAGTTGATCATGACAGGTGCCACGTATTTCCCGAAGTACTTGGAGTCTTCATCATCGATCTGGCCTTCTAAGGTTTGCTCTGAACCTTGCTGCTCGACCAGCGTGATGTGTTGGGTAAGGTTGTAGGCTAGCACTAGTTTCAAAGCCTTGCGTATAACTGGCAACTTCTCCTTGGTGTAGAAACGATAGGCAGTCTTGAAAATCTCCGTAATGAAAGGAGTACCTTCGAAGTGGTCGTCAATGAAGTTCTCAAAGCCACTCTCGATGTGCTTGTCCAGGTACTCAGCAAGCGCTTCCGGGCGAATACCACCATTTCCAACGTCCAGTCTCTCAGTCTTAAGTTCAAACTCAATCGGCTCCTGATCCATTTGGTAAGACTCGACCCAGTCAACCTGGAAACAACTGTCATCCGCTACGAAAACTTCGCGAACCATAACAGGCAGGCAGAAACCATAACCATGAGTGATCCACATCAGGCTCTCCTTCTGTGCAAAGCCCTTCACATTGTAGACAGAAACGCCACGGCTCAGATGTCGTTCGTAATCCGCCTTCCAGTCTTTCATGAAGTAGCCAATATCCTTGATATCAATACGAGTGCAAGGAACTTGCCAGAGTCTAGCATGCGACGGTTGGCAACCACCACAAGGCTCACCCTTGTCGCAAGTCTTCTTGAGGAACTTGCACCGAAGGCAGGCTCGGAGTTTCCTGATCTCGCTAGCTTGTTTCCGCTGCTCGGGAAGAAGAGGGCCTTTCCGACGTCCAACCTTCTTCTCGACTGTACCATCTTTCTTTCCATTAGAAGTCCTCCTTATGACCGATTTGGTGGACTTTGCAACCGCGCCCTTACTCTTAGGACCCGAGTTTCTACGAGGGTTGTTATGAGGCGGGGACGCGACACCTGATCCGCTCGCAGGGCTGGGGCGGCTCGAGGTCGATGCCTTAATAGGCACTGGCTCGACGACGGCGGCAGGGCTGATAATTTCGTGAGAATGATGGCTCTCACCGTGGAAACAATTTCGATGGCTCGCCGGATCCGAGTACGTGTCAGACTCCGGAGAAAACGGAGAGTAATTGAATGAGATATCCTCGAAACTACTACTGCTGAAGTCAGTGCGCTGACCGCTTCCATCCGAATGGGAAGCGTCCGAGTTCGTTCTCAAGTGCAACGTCTGGCCGGGATTGAATATAGCAGTGTTTTGGGCCTGCGCCTGTGCCTGCGCCTGCGCTTGCTGATACGAATCGTAATTTTGGTACATCTCAACCTGAGTCCAGCCGTTATCACTAGATCCCGGCAGGGATAGTACCTCTAAATAAGTCCCAGTCGGAGACTGGCTCCCTAGGCTTCCAAAGCGTGGCAGTCCATCGGACGGGAACTGCAAAGTAGTCCCGAAATCCTGCCAATTCCCCATTCCCATGCCATCCCACTGCTGCTGCATAGTCCGAGGGTCCTCGATGGGCGAGACATTGCTAAAGCCCTGCTGCTCCATGGGCATTGCGGATTCAAGTGTCGCCTGCGCAGCCGAAGGCAAATAACCGATAGCGCTCGTCTGGTAATTTGCGGCAAAAGGGTATGGTATCAAAGTCTGATTCTCGTGCATATAATGGCCCAAATCCTGAACAGGCGGATGCTGCTGTTGGTGCTGAAGCAATGTCCAGTCGGTCAAAAGCGGGGGAGAATGAATCTGCGGAGGAGCGCTCTGGTAAGGCGAGTGCTGTAACGGACTCGCACTCTGTTGCGCAGGCGATTGCGACTGTGCTGGAGACTCGACAGGTGAGTGTATATTGCTCGAGTTTGCGTTCTGGGGAGCGGCCATATCAAGAGGCATCGGCCAGGCACCCGAGGGACGAGTAGGAGCCATTGCTGTAGCCGAGAGGGCGGGATTGGTGCTGGGTGCTGTAGTGGTGTACGGATAACGCTCCCGCTGGTCGAAAGTGGTCAAGTCCAACAAGGCATCCCCCCCGGCGGCATTGAAATCGAGGGTCATTGTCGTCAGAAGTCAAGAAAAGGGAGAATTCAACTGGGGGATCTGGGACGAGTTCCGCTAGTATTATTGTCAAGCAGAGACGACACCGCTCTTTCGTGAAATTCCCTTGCGGCGCCGATAGACAGCTTTGGGGATGTGAAAGGGAGGGGAAGGGAACGTCTGGTTGTGGAGGAGGTAAGATTTTGCGGTGGATGGTCGAGTGAGATCGAGGATATCGACGGGGAGACGCCCTTGAAGGCAATGGAGAGGAGGCATGAGATTGTGTGAGGAGACACGGGAAACTGGCGGTGAGAAGAATAACGCTGGCGTCCCTGCTCCACCTGCAACATGCAGCTCAGCGGCCAATCACGGATTGACAGTCCTGCAAGAATCATGGGATGGCGATACAAGATAGGACATGGGTAAGAACCACGAGGCCAATAAACAACCGTATATTTCGTTCCACTAAGTCTTCTTTTGCTAGGGCTCGCACGGTGGCTGGTACCCGTAGTGTAAATCTAGTATCAATTAAGTAAGGCCAAGTACAGGCCAAGTACGGCGGGGGGGCAGACCTTAAGCTACATGTAGGTAGGTACTCAATGTGGCTAACTGCATGTAAACTTTTTGATTTTTTTTCTAAGACTGTACCTAACCTAACGTAAGGTGTATGTACGTCCGGGTATGTATCTGATGCGTCGGATGGAAATCACGTTGTGGGTTTGATGGGTTTGATGGGTTTATGTGGTAGCATAATGCCGTAGCAAACATTTAAGATGTATTGCTTAACTACATGTAAGATTCGGTTAATACATACCTAACATACATACACGTATTAGCTGCACTGTAAGCAGAAGTAAATATCATACTGTGCTTACCCGCTTTCTCAATGGCGGGGTATCAACCTTATCAGTCTTAGCCACCTATTAGCCACCTAAAGGTCCCCTATGTCTCCAGCGTCCCCCCCCCCCTCCCCCCTGTGTCTGATCCAACTGTAACTCCACATTCATCAATCTCATGTTGAGGCAGTGAGTCGATGACATGGCGACCGGCCTATAACGGCTAACTGCAGATATGTAGGACTGCGTCACTCCTAGGTCAATATACATGTATGTTTCAATGCTTAATGCTTACAAGCTCGATCAATTCTTGTATGTATGTATTGCTCTAATGCAACACCGTGCGTCGCAAACATAGTGCTCGGGGATTTCGAGCTAATCCTCGGAGCCCCGAGAGGAAGGATACCCTAGGCCGGCCTCGCATCTCGACCTTGAAAAAAAAAGCCGAGCTAAGGTGGAAGGTGAAAAATATGGAAAGGTGGAAAGGTGGAAATGTGGAAATGTGGAAAATGCCGGCCACATCAATAGTCCTCGGCTGGTGGACCTCTTCTTCGGGTCCTGCTGCTGCTCCCGGTTTGCCTTTACAAGACAAGGAGAATTAAGACGATCTGGATCTGGAAGCGAAAGAATACAGAAAAATAACTCCACAATCCGAAGTTCTTGGTCAGTGTCCACCCTAGCTCCTGAACTGTGCATTGGCACCCTGTCGTCAGCTGCACCAAAATATACGATATGGTGATACCCTTTGCACATCGAGCCAGTTGAATTCGCCGGATCTTCACATTGCGTCCGTGCGATCCAACCGCTTCCGGTCCAACCAGTCTACATACTGCCCAAATAAAAATGCTCTGCTATGGTGTCATGTTTACAAGCTTTTAAAGTTCCCGTCTATGCTTGAAATAAAAGAGCCTCAATGCCTCGGACGACGAGGCTGCAGTTTGGGACTAGCTGGGCGTCTCGGCCACCCCATCCGCCGTGGGTACATACGTGCGTGGGTATGTGTCGACGTGTGCGGCTAGGTATTCTGCTCGGCACTCTCAAACAATACTAACCCAGAGTGTTGGCAACTTACCTGGGGAGGTAGGTCCTTATGCGCGCGGGAGGCGAAGGATTTCTTCGCGCTTGTGAAACCACGCTCCTGATAGGCTACACTTCTTACCACCTTCGCAAAACACACCATTATTGCGTTTACCTAGCTAACGACCCTACGAACGTAGGTACAATTCCTGGTTACATTCGGTAAAACCGAGGGTTCATTCGATGTTTGTTCTACATAGCTGCATTGCTACAGCTATTACTATTACATACTCCTGACAGTCCTTACTAGATATCCTACCTCCTTTTGACTGCGTATTAGATCTGATTCCGTCGAGCTTATTCTTCATCTACATAGATGCAAATGCCGGCCGATTACGTCTTACTGCTCAGACGGCACAAGCTTTCTCCGATACTGGAACGTTACGAAATCAACCCTGACAGGGTTCTAGAAGCCCTTAACCACGATCGCCTATAGCAGTACCCGCTAAGCCATCTCGGCGTCAAACATGCGAGAGGTGGACAGTTCGACTTTGCCACTAATCCATTATCAATTGAAGGAAGCCGGAGGCTGGAAGTTGGTTGATACATAACTTAATATGGAACTAGGCGAGGTTGGGGATAACTCCACACGGATTATCCGGCACACTGTAGATCACTATCCAATCCAGCGTTCACCATGGGAGACCACACCTTGAGGGCTATAAATAACACTTCCCTATGTCTAGGGAGGATAATGAGTTGTTGTTATCCACCATAATATACGAGGACTAACGTGTTGAATAAGTAGGTGAGGTATGTACATAGGTGAACGAAACGAAGTCCCAGTTCCGACGGCGCAGTTGATGGCTTGTGAGAGTCGAAAACGAGACCCGGAATCGCTACCGGACGCCACTTGGTTCCGACGTGGCGCGACTTCGAAATTAAACACCTGAGCATCTCATAGGCTTTACAGCACCCAATGTTTTAAGAACTGCCCATTCGCCACTTAGTTGTTATTTACTAACTATTAGAACAAAATTTCACATCCGAGCCTGTCTCGAAACCATGTCTGCCACGTTTACACGCATGTGTTTTTACCCAAGTTTCGAAGACTCATTACGGACGGCTGCGGATTGTAGTACCGATATCGATTACTCCTTCGGTGAACTCCTGCCAACCCGGCGAAGCCTTGGCCTCTATTATAGACACGAGATAGCCGTCTTGATAACGCGCCACTCGACGCCACATTCGGGATGAGCGTGTGTGTCTAGTGTATACTAGTATAAGGAGATTGTTCTCTATAGCATGTAAGCCTATTGCTGTTAATGTGTGTATCACCAGATGATATGGATTAAATTACAGCGCACACGATCAAGGTGGGTAATCCACTTCTATTGATCTTGGTATCTTAAAATACGAAGGCAGTCAGACAAGAGTAAGGTCTATGTAAGGGCGCAAATATAGTATGACCTTAGAAAGTTGTTCGCATATGCATAGCCTTTATCTAGATAGCTTCTATCTAAGTATAGTGACATATCCGGGCAAACTTGGCCTGAAACATATTAACTGAAAGATGATGAGTACGATAGTAATACGGTATTACGGCTTTTAAAATATTTGATTTATTACTGAATTATGATAAAGAAATATTTACCATCGTAATTACCTGCGTATTCTCTAAGCCACCACCATGTCCATATGAAATAATTACGACAAAGTTAGGATATAGTTATACATGTAAACAAAGCCGTAGAGTCTAACGAATATCAAATATGTGTTTGACACTTTGCATCTCTAATGTTAAGAGGCATGTTGAGGAGTCTTGGAAGTAGCTTAATATTGGCAAGTGATGGCAGTTGATACCATACTCGTTAGCCGGGAATTTACCGATTATACTAACTTGGGAAAGCCCCGGGTCGGGTTTAAAGTGTTAGTGACCAATAGTAGCGCTTTTTGCGCTAAGAACGACCAAATGACTCTGGAGCCTTAAGACGTTCGATGATTTCGACACGGCAGGTGCCCAAAATTTGAGACATTACAAAGCACGTCTTTCTTCACGTGCGATTAAAGGGAAACTACTTATACTCAAATCACGTTTTTGTCAAAATTTACAGAAAAATACGTTTTGTTCGATAAATATTCGTGGTTATCTACATTCCAGACTTATTCCTCGCTTGGCCTCCCTTATGCCAATAAAGACTAGCCTCGCCCGAGCGCGTCAACGGACTGCATACAAAGGGAAAACCTTCCGTCCTAGCTCAACAAATAGATCTGAGGATACTCAGGATTTCGAGCATCTCCAAGATTTTCAAGGTGATTCGGATGAGATGGTAAATAAACACCACACTTTATCCATGGCCGGTCCAACAGCTTACGAAAGTCAGGAACCAATGATCCCTGATCTGTTCACTAGCTGGCCCCCTATTCGGGAAGCGCTCGCTACCGCAACTTCCAACGTACAAGATATCACCGTGAATGAATGCCTACCTTTCTTGGCGGCGCAGGTTGATAATGTGTCATACAACCAGTATGGCCTACCACGTCTTGATCGGGAACGGCATATAAAATTCCTCCGTAAGAACCTGGCACCCCTTCCTGCTCGTTTCGTGATGTTAGATGCAAGCAGACCGTGGATCCTTTACTGGTGTCTCAATGGTCTATCCCTCCTAGGGGATGATGTCTCTGTTTACCGCGATAGCCTTATCGAGACGGCCCGTTCCATGCAAAATCCTACTGGCGGGTTTGGAGGAGGTTTTGGCCACGCTTCCCACCTAGCCTGTACGTATGCTGTGGTCTTGGCACTAGCCGTAGTAGGAGGCGATGCTGCGTATGAAGTCATTGACCGAAGAGCTCTTTGGAAATGGCTTTGTGATTTGAAGCAGCCTGGCGGGGGCTTTAGGATGGCTGTTGGAGGCGAAGTCGACATAAGGTAAGGCGGCCTCATTAGACCGACCTCAACGACATGTGGCTAATGATGTTTGTCAGGGGAGCCTACTGTGCAGCTGTCCTGATTACTCTGCTTAACCTTCCTCTTGAGTTGCCGCCCGACTCTCCGGCATGGACGCCCGACGGACCAAACTTATTCGCAGGCCTAGGAGATTATGTACGGCGATGTAAGAGGACCCAGGCGAAGTACCCATCTGTTAGACCTATGCAAACTAATCCTGCAGGCCAAACCTTTGAGGGTGGAATTTCGGCGCAACCAGATGGTGAAGCCCATGGAGCTTATGCCTTCTGCGCTTTAGGTTGCCTCGCGATCCTTGGTGCTCCGCATCGTACCTTTCCCAAGTTTGTGTTGTCTGATCTTCAGAAGCTCTGCTGATCTCGATAATTTATATGTTGCTCTCGTACTAACCCTTGAATGTAGATATCTTGATGTCCCACGGCTTATTTCATGGCTGTCATCACGGCAGTATGCACCGGAAGGCGGGTATAGCGGCCGTACGAACAAGCTTGTTGATGGCTGCTACAGCCATTGGGTAGGCTGTTGTTGGCCATTGGTCGAGGCTAGCCTTGCCGGCCCATCAAGTCTAATGTTTGACATAAACAAACACAAAAGCCCCGATATTGATATCCACAACATTTATAGTCGCGAAGGTCTTATCCGGTATATCCTCTGTTGCGCGCAAGATCAATCAAAAAGGGGTGGTATGAGAGACAAGCCAAGCAAGTAAGTACATAGATGCCAACCGTAATCTAGACATGGGCTAAATACCACAAAAAGAATTTCTGATGCGTATCATACATGTTACGTACTCAGCGGACTTTCTTCAGCTCAACACATTACTCGTTTACTTGCCTCGGAGGGTGAAGGGATGACGCATTCGGAATATGACGTCTCGCCGCTCCGCGGAAGCCCTCAGATTTATGCTGAAGAAGATCGACTCAACACTACTGATCCTGTGTATTTCATACCTGAGGGGAAACGGAAAGAAATCATGTCATATTTCCTATCGAAGCCGGGATTTTGACCCGCTTGTGGCCGCATATGAAGAGGCCATATCCGACACTACGCCGGACCAATCGAGGAAGGCTGAGAATTTCCCTCGCATCCTACGAATCTTCGACCTTCCGCCCATGATTATTGAGTGTCAGTCAGCATTATAGCCTCTCCCTCACGTGTCGAGCTATATAGTATAGCTCTCATAGTGTGCTTAGTATAAGCCATATAATTACCCCCTAGGTCGAGGTAGGCTAACTCGTGTACCTACTCGCCTACTTAGGGGCATTCTGAGGGCGAAAGAAGTCAAGTAATGGATAATAGCTGCGCTCCTATCCTTAGTGGATGGCGTGCCTCCGCAGTTACACATCAAGACGGTGCATCGAGAACCTCGGCAACGAAGATTGGCTCGCTCAATGTACAAGAAGGGCCCGCCTATACCCTTTTCACGTTTTTCTACAGGAAGTATCATGCACTTCACAATCAAACAGATAGACCTCTAGAGGTAATACAAGAGAAGGTTCACCAAGCACGTTCGCCCGATTAAAGTGAGACAGAACCATCTAGAGGGATTCTTGTGCATTCGTTAATCTACCATCTCCACCATATGCGGTCATGCAGTCTAACACGATAACCCGTACCTTATTCAGCAAGCTCGAGCGCAGATGAGCCAGCCAGAGCTGGTAATAGTGTGGCAAGCTCTCCTAGATACTGGATTCGACCCGACTTGTTAGAGTCCGGAAAACGCCACTGGCTTATATCTACCTAATGTAGTCCAAATCGGAACGTCGACGGCAGACGGCAGCTCTAGCTAAAGTAAGGAGACTATTGAATCGTACGAGGGCGTCCATAATGCTCAAGCCTATAGAAGCCGCGATGTAGCGATCGAGAGGCGTTATGAGAATTTGCATCAGCTTTGTACGTGCTGATCGACTCAACAGAATCGATGTGTTGACCACATGGTGCGGTTGTTTCGCATCCCGTCCCTACACCTACACCCATGCTACCCTGTATTCCTACGGCCATATTGAGTCCCTGACGTGTACAGTCTCCATTACGGTCTCCCTTGGGTGGCCATGACTTCGGACGGTAGAACGATCTCTACCGAGCTAAGGGCAGGGAGGTAGTATTTGGCCTCGTCTCCACTAGTCGCATATGCTCTACGCGACGTAGTAAGATGCTGTGCTACGAGTCCACAGACACATGGAAAAGACTTGTTGACATGATGATCGGGAGTCATCGAACTAGCCCATATGATCGTATTCATAGATACCGTGATATAAGGGTTACAGTCCAGGGCTAAATTCCCAATTCCTCTCTACAGCAATTGTATGTCATCTCCTGACCATACTTTGTTATCGCTTGCCCCTAATTCGACTCGGGGGGAGCGTAATATAGAGCACGTAGCAGAAAGATTTGGGGAGTGAATTGGAAAAGAAATGTACCCCCCCAACAACAAGCAGGCCTACGTATGTGGCCAATCCCTCAAGCTTTAGGCTGCGCCTCGGCGCGTTTATGGTAAACAAGGCCTGCTGCACGAAATTTCCTTCGCTTGTGGGCCTTCCCCCGGATGAACGACTCGCTTCGCCGTATGATAAGCACGAATTGAACCCCCGGGATCCTACTTTAAGGCATCTCTCGAATGAGTGTTGCCGAAAGGCTTAATGGGAGACAGCGACGATCCCACGGCTCCCTTTGCCGGACCTCTCTCCTAGCAGCTCGGACGTGATGGCCGTGGTGGCCAGGACGGATGGACTGGCCGCCGAGGTCTCGGATCTCGCAAACACGTTGCATTCCTGACAGAATGACTTTGGGGCTACGTATGTATGTCTCTGGCAGCCATACGGGTCTCGCAGATTAGGTAGGATCGTGAGCGCTCCCTAACCGTGCGCGTGGGAGCGGAGGGCTGGTCGGCAACATCCTTAACGGCATTAGTTTTTCTTACCTCGAAGTAACATGGCGTTATGTATATTGCATGAAGATATTATATATGTTTCTCTCTCGTTGGTCTGCGCGTAATGGTCAACTGTATGGTGGATGATCAGGATGACTAGATGCCCTCTTCCACTACCCAGTATCCCAAGCGTAGTCGGCGAAGCCTACCCACCGTCGCGACACTTTTCAGCTTTTCTCAGTCGAAGAGGATGACGTTGTGTGCGCATTCCAGAACAGCGCGCTGATAACATGTAGAGTGCCATACATGTATATCGAGCTGAAGTTACGCAGAGGCTACGTACATACATAATGTAATACCCGTCTTGAGCCGTCTTACGGGATATTGGTTAGTGTCGTAGTATATAGGTAGGTACTTGACTACCTTCTAATAAGCTACATTGGATATTTTTTCCATTTTGCCTTTTTTCACCTCCTTTTCGCTCGTTGGCTTATACCTTTCTGCCGCTTGGGCTTTGTGTACTGATAACATGTGTCTCGAGCGCTTGCTTCCCTCACGTCACGTCGCGCCGCGGCGCTGCGTAGGAACTTTTAACGCCGCTGGTAACATTACCCTACGTACATACATACATACATACATACATACACACGCATATATATCATGTAATTTTAGATATCATGTATATGCCAAACGAAGAAGGTAGGTAGGTAAAATGTAAATATTGCATCCCGGTACTGCGTCTAGCGTATCGCCTATGTGGATTCCAACGGTCGGTCTGGGCGTCTCTAACGTTACGAAGAAATGCAAAAGAATACATGGTAGGGATAGGAATAGGAATAGGAATAGGAATAAAAGTAAACAAATAATAGGACTAGGTAGTCGGCGGCCGCTGCATTAAAGTCCGAAAGTTACATGCGGCCGTGATTCTCGGTCTACGTCTGGGCTGTTATGTGTTTATGCTGTTGTTGTGGTCGAGGGTCGAGGGTCGAGGGTCGAGGGCAGGTTGTATGTATGGTGTGCATCGTATGTATCATATATGTAACTTATTGTATGTATTGTAGCAATCACGACGGTTCCTTCGTCCATCCAAACCCGTCCAAGATACGAAAATCGTCATGATGAGCGGCATCGAATTTCCTCATATGTACCTAAAGTAGGTAGGTATGGTATGCAACAGATGCAACAGATGCAACCAGATGCAACAGGGTGGTCAGGCCTGTATTGTCGGGCCAGGTCGTTGATCGGTACTGCTACTTCGGTCGACCTCAGCTCGCCTTTATTCTCAAGTGTTCTCCTAGGTATAGGGTAGGTTATGGATGGCCGACTAGGTACCCGTACCCAATCTAACATGCACAAAATAACGTCTATCTTGATTTAATATCAAGCGGCAATGCCAACTCATCATTGCATGAGGTGTTAAACGTCTGTTCTTCGCCTAGTCGCCTTCGCTGCCCCCCCGGACCACGGCCGCTGCTCATTGGCCCGACACCCCCCGACACCCCCCAAAAAGGCTCTAAGTGGTTCCTCGCGCCAATGGGTTTTTAGGGCAGAGACCAGGTTCGCGAGGAAGAAAAGAAAAGAAGAAAAAAAGAGATGACCGGGGTTGCCCAGGTAGGCTAGCCTAGTTGTGTTCATGCATCTCATTCTTCCTCACCGACTTCATGGTTCCCGGCCTTTGAACCAGTCAACTTCTCGATTTTACTTAGTTTATGTTTATGTTATTGTTGTTGTTTTTTTTTCGGTCTCTTTTTTTTCTGCACTTCGGCGGGGAGAGGGGGGGGGGGGGGTAAGGATGAGGAGAAACCTAAGAGACAAAAAAAAAACTTAGTTACCTAGACAAAGAGAAGAAAAAAAAAATATAATGATACAAAGCTAAGAAAAATAATTAAACAGAAAAAAAAAAAAAAAAACTATTGGTCGCCGGTACAAGTAAGTTCGTCAAGCGCCGCTAGCATTTCGCTCGCGTCCAACAATTGTCAAATAAGCACCAGCCGTTTTTTTTTAAACCTCTATTTTAGCTGTAGCTGTTTACTTTTGACTATTACTATTAACCTTTCTGATTCGTCCAATATATTTTGTGCTTACGTTGTTCTACTTATTTTCTACTTCTGGCACCGGTGCGAATCGCCCATCTCCTCAACCCACCTCCTGGTCCCATGTAAACCATGTAAACCATGTAAACCCATGTACGTGCCGTCGGCTTGGTCTGATCCAGCAGGTTGGTTGGCTTTGCGGGTGGTTACGTTTCTATTTTTCTCTCTTTTCTCTCTCGCTCACTCCTCACTCCTCACTCCTCACTCTCAGATCCGGGACTCCATCTTCTCTCACCGTTAGGGACCCCCTCTTTCTCATCTCTCAGGTTCGATCTCCGAGTCCTTGTCATGTACATGGATCTATACTATACATACCTATACATATACATACATACATATACATACATATATACCTACATAGCTACTACATACGTACATACATGATACCTACATACATACATACATACATACATACAGCATGCTATACCATACCGTACAGGTGCGCATACATATCGAAAGCAGGCATCGTCGTAGCAGCAGCAGCAGCAGAGCAGCATGCACGTACGTGGGGAGGTATCATTATTGACCCTTTTCTGGTCGTCTAAAAAGCCGCCTTTTTTTCCATACCGTACCGACCTTTCGTTGTTTTGATTGAGTTGCTGCTGCATTAGTGGCCGAGGAGGAAGGGGGATCTTGGGAGCTCTCATTCTCACTCTCACGTCGAGGGTCTCTCCTTTTTTGACCTTCCCCCTCTACATAGACAACGAATCAGACACATCCCTTCTTTATGGTGCTCTGGGTTGGTTAAGTATCGAAAGGAAGAAGATGTGAGTGGTAGACCGGTCTTTGAGCTTTTCCCCAAGTGGGCGATATATCTTATTATTTCTTTATTTTTAATTTTATCAACTAACTAGTGTTATTTTATCTTATTGTATTTTATTTTATTTTATTTTATTTTATTTTATTTCCAATTCAGTTCCGCCGAGGTCGTGTATTGGCCGCAGAACTGGTTCCAGTTTCATTTCGCCACTCCAAAATACCTATGCTTACCTCTGCATACATCATCTTTTTTCCTCTTTTTACCCAGCTAGGTCCCATTGTCGG